GATTCAAGTGATTTGCAGTTATGAAAGAGGCAAACAGCTAAATATATATGAAGATATAAGTAGTCGTATTAGGGTATTCAATAAGTCTTAATATATCTATCGCAAACTCTCTTTACGATAGTCACGTGTTCAAGATCGTTAACTCTCTTAACGACTAACTTGGGTTTAATTGTGTATGAAAACACAATCGGGTTTATATCTCGTGTATGAAGATACAAGTATTTTATTAATAAAGATGAGTTATTAACTATAAGTTGTAAACTATCGCTTCTCAGAGGGGAAAAGCTTGGTTATTTATACATGTTGTTCGTTCTAATATTATATCTATCGACTATACTAGATTTATTCTATAGGATAAATTATACACAATCTAATATTATTAATACATATAATAAGACTAATAATAATGAGACAGTTAGTAGAATAGATAGAATAGATAGAATAGATAGAAAGAATAGAATGGATAGAATTGATAGAATTGGTAGAATCGATAGAATTCTTGGCGCATGTATTACATTGTCACGTATTTCGTATATCATCATGTGAGATTAGGGACGGTAGTGATTGACAAGTTTTAGGACTAACATTTTTCCTCTCTTTAATTATAAGCTCCACGAATAACAAATACCCACTTGAAATATTCCACGACTATTATTCATATCAGCAGATTCTTTTTAATTTAGTTTATTGATTATCTATAATATAAGCAAATTCACCAGCACTCAATTGATCATTCATAGGGTAAGGGTCATAGTGCGGTATATCACGTCTATACTGTATAATTTAAAAAAATCACATGCCTGAATTGACACTTTTTATAATAATCTGAATAGCACACATTTTCTTGATTCTGGAGAGGGCTTCTTCTTCCAAAAGTTCTCTAATATAATAAGCATAAACTAACATTTTCATTCAATGATATTTACAACGAGTCGACTATAATAATTCTTGATGAGTTTTTCTAAACTTTTTCTGGAATTCTTTTTTGAGTTCAAGGTGAGATATCAGGTAGAAAATTGGTAGTTTCAAGGTAATATTTTAATTGATTATATTCAAGTAGTTCCATGTTGTAAAGTTAGATTGGAATTGATTTATTTAATAATTTATTATTATTTGTACAGTAGCAGTGACTAACTTGCAAGGTTTTACGTCATTTGAGGACAAAGAATTAATATGTAAGGTTTGGTATTTTCTACCAAACCGAATTGCAGAGATAGCAACTTGAGTAATTATCAAATTCTTGATAGTATAACGAGGTTGGAGTTTCTAATATAGGCAACCACCAAGGCTGGACAATTAATCCTAATTTATCTACTCTTAGAAAATACCGATCATTATTATTCAGGAATTCGAATATGTCAATATTGTTATCAGATTCATAGTTCAATAACTGATAAGTGCTCAGTTTAATATAAACACTCATATTGTCTAATATAGTATTATCAATAAAACTAATTATTTCTGAACTTTCTTCTTGTAGCAAATTTTCATCAAGCTCTGGTGTGACCCAGTAGCATTTTACTACTTCTTTAATTAGATAACTCTTAATCATAATCCATAATTTCAAATCTAAGTAGCATGATATACATTCGTCTTCAGGAGAATACAAGTTATTTCTATATCAACATTAAGCATTTGGGCTCTTATAGTTACGTAGAAGTCCTCTTTTCTTATCTTTTCTATTAAATCTACTAGCAATATGTTCTATATGATACCAGGTACTTTTTATATTTTCATAGTGGATTCCTTCTGATGCAAAACTAATATTTCAATATGGTTTTAGATATTGTTGAACATTAAACAGTAGCAAATATTCCAAAATAGATTGAATAATATTCAAGACGTTGTTATTGATATGTGCTGATTCTAATTGTTCATATAAATTGGCTACGAATATCTCTACAATACCCTCAATATTATCTGTACCAGGTTTTTTTTAAGTAGCTTTGCAATGTTTTCTCTTTATTAATACAACTTTCTTCATATATTACTTCATTGGCAGATTTGATCTTTTGGGCGAACTATGCTTTTTCATCATCAATTCCTACTTTGCTATTATAACAATTTCTATAGCTATATGCTCTACCCCTGAATCTATCACATTTGGATCATTTATTCCTATACTAGATAAGTTCATATTTCTCTATCTATGATTCTTTTCTCTTTTTTTCAATTCTACTGAGACTATCAATGTTTTTACTACCATGACCATATTTCATAACAAATTCAACTACCGTAATTTCATCTTTATAAGATTTTTGGTGAACAAATGCTCTATATCTATTCATTTTATTTCGGTGGCAATTACCAGGAACTCTACAATTTATATCAACCACTTTTGCCTTATTGGTTTCAATCTTTGACAATTTATCCACATGTAATTCCTCATGTCTTATCATATCTTGGTAAATAAATCTATAACTATTTAATGTACATGCATTATATAGATCAATTTCTAATGACTTTTGATCTGAAAGAGTTTCTTCATATTTATCTGTTATTTCATTATTCGTTTCTTCTGTCTCATTATGCTTCTGGTAATAGATATGTATCTTACATTCTTTCTTTTCAAAACTGATTTTATTTTGATAACAGCTACCAACATCATATGTTTCATTACTAGGGCCTGTCTCACATAGTTTTTGGTGATTAATAAAGGCTTCATGCCTATTCTTTTTGGCCACATTAGGTTCAATAATTCTATTTTCTATTTCTGAAGAATTTTGATCCTGAACAGGTAATTTAAACTTATTCTTTTTAATACTAGCCTTATTCTGGTAATAGGCTCCAATGTCAGCTTCGTTATCAGCACAATCTGCAGCCACAGGTTCACTAGATGCCTTATATTTGTCTACTACAATTTCAGTATCATTGTAAAAGCTATCATTAGATTTGGGCTTTTTAGTTTCTTTTGATTCAGGTGCCCAGGTATCTAGAATTTTCATATAGCTATTAACTAGATCCTCCAAATCAACATTATCATTATTTTCGTTAGTTTTGTCCTAATCTTTAACATCATATTTAGGACTTTTAGAACTACCAGGGCTAATTTTATAATTATAATTCATTTCTAGATCATTTTTATCCTTACAACAATAACTAGCTCTATATGTTTCTTCAAGATTATCTGTCTCTAATAGTTGCTGACAGTATGTGGGTGCTTCACATTCATCCTTTTCTACTTTAATTCCATTGAAATAACTCAGCTATAATTCAGCAGATTCTGATGATAGTAATACATTAATATATGATGGTAAATAAACAATCATTACTTCTTTCTCTTGATTGTTTATGAAATCCTCTATAACCTTCAACATTAATTCCAGGTCTAGTAGAGATTACATGTCGATAGGCCTGTCTCCGAAAGCCTCATCAAGTATATCTCGTATTTTATTTATTTATTTTTTTTTTGGTGTTAAGGTGGCCTCTTGGCCGGCTCCTTTTATTCGGTTATAGTTAACTTTT